ATCATTGTCATCAATTCCCATTTTCACTGTTTCAGCCTAATACAAGTTCCTCTTCACAATGTTCTGTGAAATCGAGTTGTGAAATACAGTTTAATGAGGAATATGGTCTCAGATTCAATGGGAATGTGATCCGTTTTCTGTTTGGTACTTTTACTTTGCCATACACTCCGAGACAGTGAACTAGGGTCCTCTTCTTATGCATCACTAGCCCTATGTGATGTACTGTTGGGGGAATCAAAGTAAAACGTCTTCCTTGTTGTCTAAAATGGATCTCATTCACCTTTTTCATCTCTTGTAAACTCCCAGGAGGACCCCACTTACTGGGTACTAAAATTATAGCATAGCTGTTTGTGTAGAGCAATCTTAGGAGACATTCTAAGAGGATCTGACAGACCTGACTTAGCAATACCTTCTTATACAGTGTTTTTGGAAGAGTGTTGCTAAGGGGTTCAGTTATGTGCAACATTTGACTGTGTCTATGTATGTGTGTACTTTTTAATAAACATTTTTTTTTCAAAAAATTAAAAAAATAAAGTTATGGAACCTTTTGGGAAATATTCTTTTTATTATTAAAGGACTCACACCAGGGATGGGTTAATGGGATAATGTACTACCTCATTAACATTTATATTTTTATTTTACTTCAATAGTTTCAGACATTGGTTGAAGTAGCAACAAAATAGTTACTATGTTAATATGATTTTAATGCAGCATTGATCAGGTCCTGGCATGCTGTAGGCCACACAGGACTATATTTATACAGTACCATTATTAGAGGACTATACTCAGGAACTAACAAGGGGGAAAAAAGGACACATTAATTATTGAATTTACAAATTTAATAATAAGAAGATCAATAACTAAAAACAATTATTCCGACAGGAATTGAAATCCTTCATGTTTTTATTATATTTACATTAAATTAAGTGGGCATTTAAAATGGATGGATGGATGACAAAACAAACATTACATGTGATCACCTCAGTTCCACACCAAAGACCAAATTAATTTCCCATTATTTTCCCAAAGTAATAATTTTTAAATGTTGTTTTCCTCAACAAATAAAAAATAGTATTTGTTTAATTTTTAAAGTGTGATTTTCCACAGTATCAGACATCTGGTCAATTTTGTACAAGAAAAATAGCAAAAGATGATTAATCTTTTGATGCTTTATGAAAAAACAAGTAACCCGAGCAGTGCTTAAGAGCGATGACACACTAAGAACAATGGAAACATACAGCCATGGAAAAAATTGAGACCACAGAACAACAATATATATATATTCTCTTATACAGTGGTACCTCAGAACTCGAACTTAATCCGTTCAGAACTCCGGATCGAATCCTAAAAAGTTTGAGTTCTGATCGAATTTTCCCCATAAGAAATAATGGAAAACCAATAAATTGGTTCCCAGCCCCAAAAAATTACATCTAAATATGTTTTTTTTAGCATTTAAACACAAAATGAACAGGATAAAACAAGAAGAGCATATACTGTACTAAACACATCTAAGCACATTTATCAAAACAGTAATTTGTAAAGTAAGAAAATAAATGTATCCAAACAATGTGTAAAGTAAAAAAAAAAACAATGTGTCCCGCCTGAATCGTCTGCTCCTTCCGTGTGCCACGCCCCCTCGTTAACCCCATGTGGAATCCCCTTGTGATCAGCTGTCTTTGGTTGTTGTCATTAGTCCTCTGTATTTAGCCCACATTTCAGCTTGTTTCCCCAGTCTGGTCATTGTATTGTCCATCTGCGTTTTGCCTGCCTTGCCTGTAATTAAACCCCGTATTCCCCGACACCCTGATGTCTGCGCCTTTGTCTCCATTCTGTCCCCGCTTGGCACGACAATATCATTATAATTAAATGTATTCATGGTTTATTATCAATATTAAAATAATTAATAAATCTTTATTTTTAAATGTATTTTATTATATAATAATAATTACTGTTACTCTCGATCATTGTCTAAATGTATTTTTACTGTCTAAATACATGTATTCAGCTAGTGTAAACATGCACGATGCTCTCACAGCGAATGCGACCTATGACCTGGGAAAAGTTCTGAAATGATTTAACGTGGTCTCATTTTTTTTTTTACATCACCAAAACTCGCCATTTTAACAGGGGTGTGTATTCACTGTATGCAGGTAAGAGCAAATTTGGGGGTGACAGCTAAGTGTCAGCCAGTGTGGAGCTGTGGGTTAAGGGTTGTGGGCCCACAGACATGTGACTGCTCTGCCAAGGCTTAAACTGGCGATATTCTGATCACAGGCACAAAGGCTTAGCCTGCTGAGCCTCTCACATTTGCTGCTACGTGGTGCTGCTGCTTCCTTTTTAAGGAAATTTGCTTATAAAAGAAAGCCATACATTTGTTTTTATGAAGCAGTAATAAGATCCAACAAATACTTTTTAACATCACATTCACAAGGTCAAATGTCTACAATCACCCCTGACTTTGCTGCCACTAAGTGGCGTTGATTCAGTTTTGGGGAGATCTGTCTCATAGTTTTACCAGTTGCAGTTGTTCACGCATACAATATGTTTGCAAAGTTCCTTCAAATAATTTTTGAGTTACCGAACTAACAGCACCAAATGTCAAAACCACCCTTCTCTTTCTATTCACTATGCGGCGCTGCTTCAGTTTTGTCGCACTGCTTCATCTGGCCCAAAATTTAATAATTTCCAGGGCAGTGGTTCCCAAAGTAGGGGTCGCAACCCTCTGGGGGGTCGTAAGACATTGAGGGGGGGGGGTCGCAAGATGATTTCCAAGAAATCAAAAAAAAAATTTTAACTATTAGAAATAACATTTTATCAACATTTTAACATTTTATATTAACATTTTATCCATAACTAACAAAAGATAAAAACTAGTAGTTAATAGTTACAATTAAAAAAAACATGCAAATTCAAAAGCCATTAGGCTTTCAAATTTCTTTCCGTTTGATCGCGACCCCTGAGGTGATTACGACAGATTAACGACACATCAATAGCGTCAGTTGCAGCAGAATTTACAGCACCATGTTAAACATTCCGACATGTGCACGTAACGTGTAGGTAATTTTCATCGCTTTATGCTTAGGATATTATTTTTGTTGAAATGAAACGAATGAGTAAATAATTTTTAAAAAAGTTATATGGTTGTTAGAGCATTGTGTTCTTTTGTGTTGTCATGCTCTTCTTTTGATAGGATATTTTGTTGAAATGAAACAAATTAGTAAATTACTATTAAAAAAAATTATATGGTTGTTAGACCATTGTGTTCTTTTGTGTTGTCATGCTCATGTTTGGATAGGCCTATTGGCGCATGTGAACCGCTGCGCGCAACATTTGTATATTTTAACCACTTCCGAGGATAGTGGGGGTCACGAGTCACTGGCACGGTTACTTTGGGGGTCATGAGCTGAAAAGTTTGGGATCCCCTGGTCTAGGGAATACAATTATGCATGGTTAGAAATCTGTGGGTATGAGAAGGTTGTATGGCTCCTTTACTTGGCAGAAACTAATTGACATCAGCCTTTCCAAGAGAGCAACTTCTGAGGATAAAGTCATAACCAATAACATAATTTAAAAATTTGGTGGTGACTAACAATGACAGAACAATCCACAATGTTCACATTATCTGCTTAGATACTGAATTCATGTAAAGACACGACCGTTGACACCTATTATCATCCTAGTACAGATGCATTTTTTGTAATATCAGGAACCCCACTGGAGCCCAGGACAGGGATTGAGTACTATTTTTATTATTAATGGGACTTCCCCTAGGTCGACAAGATTCATGGTTTTCATGTGTTTCTTTTAATGACAGCAGTCAATATAACAACTGACCTAAACATCAGAATATTTCTTTTTATGGCAATTATCCACAAAGTGTGCAGCTTTTGTCACTGCATTGTATGTTTCTGGACTTTAAAAAACGCAGATATTTTCAGGTGGTTGACGCGACATATTTTCCAACGCGCGCTTTCTGTCCGCCGGTGGGAGTGTGCTCATCGGTATGATTTTGACTGGCTATATTTACCATAATGTAAGCTGCACAGAAGTGGTCCTTATATTATTTTAAAGCTATTGTCCAGTTCTATAGTGTCAACTGTCCAGTGCTGGGCATAGTTTCTTCAACACATCTTAGCCACCAATTATCATATGCAGCCACTGTGTGCACTTACACCTCACCTCTGATGAATGCAGGACATTTATTAGCCATATTTACTAGCCATGTGTGCCTTTTCAATAGTAAGGCAAGTACAGGTGTCTGCAATGACATTAATGAAGCTCCCATTAAATTTCACGGTAGTATATTTGTAATCTTAATTAATGTTATTAATTATACCTGTGCTTGTTATACTATTTCATGTCAGTGATGGGTTAGGGTTAGGGTTAGGGCATGGCTGCCATTAAAAAGGCCCATTAGTGATATGAAACCATGTGACGCTACCCTTACGTCAAGATATCTCACCTTAAAACACCTTAAAAACCAAAGACCAAATTTTCTGGAGATGTTCATGACATTATGATCTAGGTTTAGTAAAAAAACTGATCAATTTTGAAATATAGGTTTTTTTGTTATTGAATTTTTAATAATTAATCGGGTATTACATAGTAATTATTTATATGGGGATGGAATATTATTTGTTCAATCTATAGAGCTGGACAATAGCTTTAAAACAATATATGGACCACTTCTGTGCAGCTTACATTAAGGTAAATATAGCCAGTCAAATTCATACCCCTCCCCCCCAATAAGTTAAAACTTTGTTTGCTTAAATCTCCCTCAATATTGATCCTAGATACACCCAATTTCGGTTTCACGAGTTACTCATGTGAACAAATCAGCATGCCAAGTTATGTTAAAATCCGTGACGATGAGGTCCGAAAGTGTAATGATTTGACATGGAATGACCCAATTTAAGTGGGATGTATTGCTTCAGGAACCATTTCAATTTGATTGCATTTCTGGCATTGTACAGTTAACAGTTAAAAAGAATCCAACACACTTAATGTTAATGAACACACAACCAAGTGCTATTCTTTTATCTGAAAATACAAAATAATCGCATAATCACATGTGGTCAAGAGAAAACAATCATGAAACTCAGATTTAAGTACACCTCTAAAAACACGCACAGACAAAGTACTACTTTAATTTAAAGCAGTCCATTTTCTATAACATCTGTCCTATGCAGAGTTGCAGGGGTTTGGAGCCTATCCAACAGTGAGTGCAGCGGGAATTACCGAGGATGAGGTGCCAACCCATCGCAGGGCATATACACCATGCACCCACACATTCATACCTATGGGGAATTTGGCAACTCTAACCTTACCATGTTTTTAGACAGTGGTGGGGGGACCAGAGAACCCAGAAGAAACCCCATAACAACACAGAGAGAAAACGCAAACCCCGAACACATGGCTCCAGGGCAGACACTTAAATCCCAGGCCCAGAGATGTGATGTAACAGTGCTAACAACTACACCACCATGCTGCCCCCAATTTAAAGCAATATTTAGTTAAAATATTTTAAGTTCAGTGAACCAGTTTTATTTGAAATGTGTATTCACTGCTTTTGTTCATCTTAATTTTAACTGTCACTTATAACAGCAACCTTGTGAGATGTGATCAAGCCCAGTTATATCAGAAGACATTTTTCACAAAACAACAGTTGAAGAAGTAGGCATGTCAAGGACACTCTAATATCTGGAAATCATCAGGGGCCTCCCTCAGCTAGGTTACCCCAAACTACACCACCAGTTTGACCAGTATCAAGTATGGCTGCCTCAGTCACAGAAACTTGGAGATGGAATGATTTGTGACTACAGGCATGTGTAGCTAGAGATGACCTGCTCCAGGGCTGTGAAGCTGTCCAGAAAGTCCTCCTCTGAGATTCCAAACCTAGTGTATTGATGAATATAGGCTCTGCAGGACCAGAGATAAACAGCTTACATTATGCATGTCACTCGCCGTGAATTACCAAACAAGCTATTTACAAGCAGCAAGTCCAGTGGGAGCTAAACTCTATATATACAGTGGTACCTTAATTCGAGTTTGTGTGTGTGTGTGTATATATATATATATATTAGGGCTGTCAAAATTAACGGGTTAACGCGGATTAATCTATCATCATGATTAATCTGAATAAAAATTTTAACGCAATTAACCCATCTGCAGCGCAGAATGACTCAAAATCCCTGAAATGTCTCTGTCAACCTATTTCGGGCAGTTTTGGTGCGTTCCATTTGTCCTGGGAACTCGTATTCCGAGTGTGATTCCGAGTTTTGAAGCTGGAAGTGACAGCATGCGCGCTCCCGTTTCTCGGCGATCCGAGAAATATCTCGGAGCAGCACAGAGGATCCCGATGGCTGCGCCTTTTATCAACAGAAGGGAAAGTTGTAGTTTTATATTGTTTAAGCACTACTTCTCATTTGTGGCTCATTAAATCGGGCGCACACACTGTACCGTCTGTGGACGTGTTGCTACAGAGTTTTATATGTAAAGCACCGCGCGTAATGTGTTATCAACTGATATTGTTAACAATGGCAATTAAACGGGCTAGAGTTGGATTTTCATGATTAGTCGGATTATTTGTCAGATTTACGGTAGTTCGGGCTAATTGTAAGTGAACGAGGATAAAGACCATTTAAACTGAGGTTTCTTAAATCTGAGAAGTTGTCCGGCTAAGCAAAAAAATTCTTGCTTTTTGATATGGGTCCATGGTATTGCACTTCTGTGGCAGATGGAATGCATCCGACTCATGTTTAAGATGTTCAATAAACATGTTATGTGCATATACGTATATTCCCCTTTTTCTTGAGTCTGTCTGCTCATGCTAAATTAAATGTGATTAATATAGATTAAAAATGAATGATATTTCATCGTGATTAATCGGAATTAATCCACAGCAACCCTGTGATTAATCTGATTAAAAATTTTAATCGTTTGACAGCACTAATATATATATATATATATATATATATATAGTACTTATATGTAGGAGAAAAGGATGTAGTTTGGACAAGGGTATCTTCCAAATACAGTAAAGACAACCTTTCTCTTTTGTTCAGTTACTCCAGTAGACATGTATTACTTCTTTGTGTGTACACAGTGATTATAAGTGTCTCATACAATGTTGTGTTTAATCATATATGCAGCTCAGTTGTGTTGCATCGCCATAAAAACATCCTTACCTGGAGGCAAACATGTTCCATGCTTTTCCCACCATCTTGTTCAAGGGTTGCAGGAGAGACTGACTGTTGCTGATCAGAGTGGCAGATTTCTCATATCCATTAAAAGGCATGAGGGAACTCCATGTTCTAAAAGCAGCCTCTGGTGGTAGCCAGGAGGAATACAGGCCGGGGTGCAGAAAGGCCCCTAAGCCAAAGAAAGACATAGCATAAATAATGCTAATTGCGATCTCAGAAGGAGCGATGCATGAAGTTATATTAATATTGCCACAAACACTGACTAAAGGTTTGGTGTTTCATCAGGGCATAAAGATCCTCACTGGGTGAAAGCTTTCTTACCTGAGTCAGCACAGGAGACATCCTTCCCTCGCAATATCAGCAGATTAGCAAGAGAAGTGTTAAATTGCAGTTGCTTGATTTCTCTTGTTCGTTCTGCTCCCTGTCTCACAGGGGGAACACACACCTGCCAATCAATTCCTATGAAGGAAAACAATTTGGGATACATAACAGTGGGCAACTAGGAAGGGGGGATGTTGGAAAGCAGGAACTTCGCCTGGGTGGTAGTTCCTGAAGTTTTTTTCAGTTCCAACTCCAGAGTTGGTACATTTTTTGCTCGACCAAGAACTACTGGGTGGGGCTTATAGAGATAAACTTTGCTGACTGGTTGGTCAAAAGCACCAGTGCTAACAAAGAGACAGAGGTAGTGGAGCAAAAATTTAGCTGATGGAATTATTGTTGTATCTTCATTACATTAAATGCATTGATAAATACCTATTTTGCTTGTGTCTTCAAATTACAGCACTGGAAAATTTGATCAATAACCAATAAAAAGGATGATTGTCTAATATCGCTGCTGTTGGCGGTGACAGTTGCCAGCACTTATTAGCAGAATAACGTTATATCGTTTCTTATTTTGTAGAATACTAATTGCTCTGTTGGCCAGATTTATTTATTTATTATAAACATGTCACGGGCTGCATAAATAAATATAAATGTGTTCCAGTTTACCCAAAATGGGACACAATTTGTTCCATATTTTCAGACCGCACAACTGATCCCCCAAATAACTAACAAAATGACACATTCAACTTCCAATGCTTTGGGGTGGCAGTGTAGAATCATATGAAATTAATGTGTAACGTTTAACCTACAAGCTCTCTGTGTCTCCCAAGCTTATTTAACATAAAGGTCATAGTTCCTATTGTGTAAAAAAAACACTGGCCAGGAACTACAAAAGTTCCTGGTCAAGACAGCCCAGGAACATTTGTAGACAGGCCAGGAACTATGTTCCTAAACTTTGGTGGAAAGCCGCCTATTGTACTCTCCAGACAACTCAGTCACTTGCTTAATATTTATCAAAAACTTTTTGACTTATCTTAATGAGATGTAGTGTCTAAAGTGCCTTTTTTCTATCACTATGTGGTGCTGCCTCAATTTTTGGGTGATCTGTCTCAAAATGTAATCTGTTCCCGTTCCACACCCAAACACTTTTTCAGTTATCGCCTTACAAACCAAAGCAACAGTGATGGACCAGAAGAAAACCACATGTATTCCTGGGTATTACAACATATGTAAGTCCAGGGAATACAAGAACATTTTAAGCCATGAACCACCTAACTGGTTGGGAAAGAATGTACAGATTGGCATATAAGTGAAATGTACAATAAATTAATGTGTAATGACTCTGTCATTACCAGCAACAGGTTTCAATCAAGACTCAAAATCTTTCAATCTTTCTCAGAAAAAAATAACACTTTTCCATTTTCCAACCTACTAATAGCCTTCTTGCAAGTCATACACTGACAACGCACCAACAACTTATGTCACACAAAATATGCTTCATTCAGGTAAAGTGCAGTGGTTCCCAGGTGCTTTACAAAAGGAGTAAATTCATGCTAATGAATATTAGGTATAATGATTTACCTAATAAAAATAATGTCTCAGGAAATAACATTTAATATTTTAATACCTTTAAAAATTTTGCCTAATTTGAGTTAATACTTTTTAATAACCCGGCCTGACCCTGAAGGGGTTATAGAAAAAGGTATGAGGCAACAGTCCTACCAATAAGCTACTACTTTGCCAAGTATAATAGTAGTATTTTTTTCCAGCAAGATGCAATTGTGGCACTATGAGGTGGTCCTTGCCTTCCTCCATTCTGGCGTTAGCAATGAGCATCTGCCGCAGGTGCTTGAGCAGGCCAGGCCAGGTGAAGGAGCTGTAGGCCAAGGAGGAGCTGGACATGTGGGGGATGGCACTCATGCTGAGAAGTTTGTACTCAGCATGACACGCCAGGCTGCTCATGAGATCACCTGAGCACAAGGAACACACATTACTGTATCGTGGCTATATAAAATATGTGCACACTGGTGTGCTTGTGACTGAAATAATGAAAGGTATGCTCACCCACTGGGTTTCGGCTGTAATCACTCTGTGTTCCTCCCACATCTGCCGGCTGAAGCACACTACCCAGTTGGTGAGCAATGATCTTGTTGATATCGCTGAAGGAAATGTGCTTAATGTTCATGAGCTGAGCACAGATCTTGTGCACTGTGTCATTCTCGTGGACCAACATGCCATCAGATAACTGGTACAGATGGGATAGCGTGAGAACAGAGTTATAGTTCTGGACAATCACCTAGGATACAAAAGAATGCAAATATAACTTTCCTGCTCAAAATCAATTGCTGGAATTGCTTTTGCAACAAACACTTCAAGGTGTCATAACTTCTAAAGTGCTACATGATATATTATTGTTATATTTTTTTAATATACAATTAATATTGTATATTATAAATGTTCACATAACTTGAATTGGTTTAGCACCAGATAGCTAGATAAAACCAAACAGTCAGTACGTTTACATGCACAGCTAAGTTGAGCTACGGTTATAGCTGGACTACACGATTTATTCGGACTGCTGTCCTTGTCCCAGTATACATGCATGGGAGGGGAATCGATTTATTGACCAAAGTATGTTTGTCACCGCTACGATAGATAGCGATATGGCTCCTATGGCTTTTACGGGTTGACCTATTACATCAGAGATGTAAAAATTAACCAAATTAATAATAATGGATGCATGGACAAATGAAGTGACACAAGTTTTACTTGTGATCTGGTCGGAAGAACAGATGCAACAAGATCAGGATAGCATATCAAGAAATAAAGTATTTTGTATAATAAACTTGTATAATAATAAATAGACAGCACAGTAGTTTTAGCGAGACTTAAACTTTCTGTTCTACAATATCCATGTCAAATTGAATGGAAGAAAAAGCTAGATCTTAATCTAACTGACTTGCGATGTAAGACTTGCATAACACGATATGTTGGTATTAATATCACACATCGTCTAGCCCTATAATACACTACAGCCATTTTCCAAATTCAGTATAAAATACCCCGCTTCACATTGTGATGTCATTTGGCACTGGTACCAGCTTTTACACCAGTGGAAAACCAACACAACCAGAAATAGTGGCAAACAAGTAACTTTATCTTGCCTGATAGCAGAACTGAATGGTTAAACATTAATCACTCTCGTTTAAAGAAATAAACACATATTTTTATATTTTATTGCATTTTCTGCTAAAATTCTCATTACCACAAAGCTCTGTCTGAAGGTATGTTGTGTTATAATTTACACAGGGTAAAATAACAATATTCCAAAAAAAAATCTATGGATGTTCTAACAGCGGTTTTAAAATGACAGAAAAAAATATTAAAAGTACATAAATTAATTGTAATAATAAAAATATTGAGAGAAAATGAAGTGTCCATTGCATGTTCTCATCCTCTGCAACTTTTAAAAGATTGTTTACACACAGAGACAAAATTTTAAATGATGTTTCATTGTGAAAGAAGCAGCTCAACTGCCAGTACCTTCAAGTTGGCTACCAGGTAAGCAGTTGTCTCTGTATTTCTTCAATTAAAAGTTAGACACTATCTTGTCAGACTGTGTACACGACAGTATTGATTATCATTACCAATACAGGTAGTTTTCCACATTTAGAAAAACTTTAGGTTAACGTCTAGTGTCATTAATGTCTAATTATGCACACTGAATAAAAATTTGTTTAGTCATCCTGACTTTTCTCTATTGTTAGCAAGACATGCTAAGGTTCCTCATCCTCCTCAACACCATTCTAACTTACCACTACAAGGCCAGTTGCGGTAGAGAGAACTTTTGTTTCAGTAATGAGAATTTAGTCATTCACACTATATACTGAAATACTTCTATAGGAATGTACAAAATTCTTATCAATTATTAATTTTGCTGTTATTAATTAGTTGCTGATATTTTGCTTTATGACTTTCATTGCAGACATTTAAAAAAAAGCTTTAGTGAAGGCTAGGATGACAAAATTCAGAAAGTTTACATAAAGTCAGAACTGCTGGGACGACTACAAAAGGACGGAAAGAAAGAGGTTAGGGACCGGACAGTCTACAGTAAGAGTAATTAGCAAATACATAGGAAATAAATAACAGTGTTAGAAAGTGTACATGCATCTACCACAAAACCACACATTCACATATGCAATCATAAGTAATTTAGTTTGTACTGTGATGACCACACAGTCTGTAAGCCATTCAGTCCCTACTATAGGAAGCGCACGCGCAAATGTTCATCTTACTATCCTTGTGAGGACCTTCCTTTGACAATTACTAATGCTGCTAATGCTATGCCTAAACCAAAACCTAGGGCTGGGTGATTATGGACCAAAAATTATATCTCGATATTTTTTTAGCTGAATGGCAATATATGATATACATCTTGATATTTTTTTCCATAAGGAAATAACAAACAGACAGTTCCAAGTGTCAGATCTTACTATCCTTGTGAGTAGATCTGGACACAATCAAACGTGTGTAAAACACTGGAAATAGAAGCTGCATAGCGAGGGTAGCAGGAAGTGTTGTGGTGGTGACAGGACAAAACTATGATGATGTTTTTTGTATGTTCTCTGTTTTAGCCAAGGTATGTTATGTAGTTTTGAAACAAAATAAACTTGATTGAACTTAAATAAAAAAATAGTAGTTTGCTTTTAAATGCATGAGAGGAATCTATATTATATGCTCCTTCAGGTTTGCCACATTATTTAAGAAATGTATCACGTTTCAATGAAATTTTATTTCAGAGTTTCAAGTAACTAAGCAAGGCTGTTAATAAGCAATTGTGAAAAAATGCATTGGCTTTCTTGATGGTCTTGAAGTTTTCAGACTGTTGCAATGAGATTTTTAAGGACTTGTTTTATGAAATTCAGACGCTCCTCTACTTACAAGCGAGATACGTTCTGAACGTCTATTCTCAACTTGAAATGTTTGCAAGTCGTCATTCAACATCATTTTAAGGGTATACGCAAGTACTAAGAACTGGGATGCTGGGAGTATACGCGCTACGCTGCTGTGCATCAAGAGTAGCCGCCAGAAGTTGTACTAGGCGGAATTGGTGCACAGAAAAAAAAATTATGTTGTGGACAGGAAACGGGAGCCCAATGAACACAATTTGGACTTACTGTCCTCTTCTTTCGTATGTGTGAAAGTTCGTAAGTTGAAAGTTCGTATGTAGAGGAGCGTCTGTATGTTAAAAAATGTGTTACATTATGTGTAAATGATTTTAAGTTTACCTTTACAAACACTTCAGACCTTGTTATTAATGGCTAAAAACAAAATTTGTTGATGCAAGTATTTTTTAAAACTTCATGTTTGAAGTCTTTGATACCAAGATTTCGTGAGAATAACCACCTGTTCTTCCATATGTCACCACTGATTTCGACTATGGCTAAGTGCCACAAGTAAATAGCAATACTTTGTCCACCCACAAAACAACAAGGAATACTAGTGAACAAGTGACTTTATCTTGCCTGATGGCTGCACTCACATTCTGTATGAATAAATGTGGCTGATCACACTACTTTTCACTCATACTAAGACACACAGACATACATATACACACTTGAGAGCAAAGTTTCTGGTTTGAGTGCATAAAAACATTTATCCGGTGACTTTGAAGCAGTTTGCGTGATAAATTTAGCAGAATAAAAATATTGCAGTGTAAAGAAAATATTATTACAAGCATATCTTGTGCACTCTCCACACCTTTTCAAAAAAAAAAAACCCTACACATAAAATTTTCCTAGAATTTCACCAAAATCCTTATGATACATTTCACCGACTGGCTACGAGACTACCACAGACAGAATTGTAGATATATATGTATTCAGAAAATCACCTCATGCCCCACACTTTTAGAATCAGTGACCTATACAATTTTCCTGAGAAGTTTGCAAAAAGATCCACGGAATAAGTTTAGATGACAGATGGCTGTGTTCACAAGATGGTACCTTTTTAATTAATACGTGTTGCTGCCCTCAATTTTGTGGAGATCTGTTTTAAAATTTAATCAATTCCAGTTTGTCACTCACACAATATGCCTAGGGCTGGGTACCGAACTTTGGTAATTTTGTGGTAATGACCAAAATGCTCCGATCCTATTGAGGATAGAAAAAAATTACCTTTCGATGCCAAGTTTTGATACCCAGTGTATTTCAGCGTCTGTGAGCTGATAAGCACGCATCATACTTGTGTAAAGATCAAAAGTTGCTGCTGGCTGGCTGTCTAACATAACATTTCACAAACACGTTATAAAGGATAGAATGAAAAACATTTGCCCAGAGACAAATTTGTGAACTGGTTCACGTGTGTGATGTTGTTTTTGTTCATCCGTGTAGTGTAAAAAAAAAAAAAATCTAAGAAATCAAGTATTGTAAGAAACCAAAAGTGTGGCTCTAGACAGTTCCAGACTGCGATCATTTAGTTGCATTTTGTGACCATTTTTGAGGAAAGTGCAACTATTACAACTAGGTGCACCAGTGCGATTTGCAAATATGCTTCTCATATAGTGGCTGACCAAATCATCGTATATCACATGAAACACCCAGAGAGACACCCAGGTGTGTATGTGTATGCACGTGTGTGTAAGCAAGATCATCTGAACTTGTATTTTTGTTGTGGTTGAAATTGATTTAAAAACATATTGGTATTGAAAAAAGAATTGTTTGGGAACCAATATCATAATCAAAGTATCCTTTGGGAATTGTTATGGAAAAATTTTGAAAGATGCCAAGTCCTAAATATACTACACCAGGGGTGTCAAACTGCAGTCCTGGAGGGCCACAGCCCTGTGTAGCTTAGTTCTTTCCCTGTTCCACCACAAATGATTCAGCTCAACAGCTATGTGGTAATTAGCACAAGAAGTTGAATCAGGTGTGTTAAACGAGGGGAAACCCAAAAATGTGCAGGGCTCCGCCCCCCCAGGACTGGAGTCTGACACTTGTGAACTACACATTTTGAAAAATCAGTGGTGTCAATCAATTAAAAGAATTGATCCAGTAAATCACAATAATAGGCTGTGATTAATCATGATAATACCTTCTTTCTCTTTTACTTTTAATGTGAAGTTTTTCTACTGAACTGAGGCTTTCACTCATTATTTAGGCCCTCATCTGCTAGCTCCATATTCCTCCTACCATATTGCTAAATAATTGAGAAAGCAAATTTTCATCAATGTTTTTTTAAAAATTGAGCAATAGAGTTCCATTAAGTAATCATGACAGCTCAAATACACAGTGGGGTTCAAAAGCCTGACACCATATCAAAAATACTTTACTGTAAACCTGGAAATAATCAGAACCATGTATAAACAAGTTATGGCATGCAGCAGAATGAAGAAATATTTAAAATTCTGCACTATTTCTAGGTCGGCAATTTAAGCAAATTTGTAGGACTGACCAAGTTAACTCCTTTAAACAATGGTTTGATTCCTTCCATTAAAACACACATTCAGGTGACATTCAGGTAGATTTAGTCTACACGTCAGAGGCTTGTTCAAGTAAATCATAAATCATACTTGTAGCCATTGTTTACCGATTATAAATATGAATGCATCTTAAATTAATTTCTGCAGAACACTGCTTATTAAGTAACACTGTGAAAGTGTGAAACATGGCATTAAAACTGAGTGAAAGTGTGAAAGGTAAAATTTTTATTCTAGGGAAAGAGCGCCTTTCTCAGCGCCAAATCAGATTGAAGGTTTCTTGGGCTACGAACAGTATAGTGTATAGCAGTAGATGTAGACAATGAAATGAGTGCTAATTAAACTACTTTTGTAAACCGAAAAGCCATTTCATTTTATTAATAAATAAGTCATCTGTGATACCGACACAGTGATACCGACATGACATTGACATGATTTTTTCATTTTGACTTTCACATATCACATCAGTATCTCCCAACTGCTCTAGCACCGCATAACAGTGCAATCCTTTATGTTTAAGTCTGAGGGCGAAGATGTGGGTTTGTCCCTGACAGCTACAGTCACACTGGCCCTGAGCGCAGCGAGTCTTTCTCTCTATATTCAGATCAGTTTTTTGAGTGGGGCGTTTTTGTAGAGGTGACGGAATTTGTTGTAGTACTGCAGCTATGTATTGCCATTCAACACATTTTTTAAGATTATGCAATGATAATAAAGGTCAAGGTATGAAATGCAGTTTGGTATGTAATCTGAAAGGCTAAATAGTGCAAAAGTTCTAAAAAACAGCTGTGCAATATATACATATATATCGTTAGAAATCGTTAGAAAATGTACTTCTAAACATTTTCTTGTTTGAGATAAATGTGATTGGACCCAGAAATATAACATTTTGTTGTGGTCCTACCACACACTTTAAAATTCCTCTTTTTTGGCTTTTATTTACAGCTGCTATCATCTGCCTTTGCAACCAGAAAGGCTCTATTTGCGTATTATATGAGCATGCAGTTCATTGGCATTGATTATTTATGGTTATTTATGGGTGGCAACTGGGAAGGATCACGGGCTCAAGTCAATGAAAAAGGGAAAGTACCGAAAGTACCGCATCAAAAGTATGGTACTTGGAGTGGTGGAAAAGCTCCCCTACATATATATGTTGACAACATGCCAATAAGCATCTGTTAAGTTTTGTAGTACACACGTCTACAGATGCATTGCCCTTGGTTTAGATGTTCTTAACTGTCTTTGTGTTTGCATATTCAATAATAAATTTCAAAACTATTTGTTTTGCCTGCTGAATATATACACACAGCCATTGAAAAAAATTAACAGACCACAGGACAATTTTTTGTTTCACTTCTCAACTTCTGGGTGTGCTTCTGTGAATAATATGTTTTTTTTTTGCAAACTGCAGCTTGTTTCTCTGTTTCTAATTAATGAAATGCTTCTTCCCTGCTTTATAAGGTTTCAGTCCTGCATCTAGGAGCCTGATACGAACTGTCCTAGCAGTGCACCTCACACCTCCACTTAATGTTTCCTATTCCTTTTGAAGGTCACTTGATGTCATCCTACAATTAATGAGAATAAACTAATGGTCATCTCTGGCATTAGAATGTCGCTCCCACCCTCTAGCTTGCTGGGTTTTGGTCATTCCCAGTGTCTCCTGCTTCACCTTATTCTTGTGTACTGCTGTCTTAGAAATTTTGAACCTGGAAGCAACCTGCTGCTCAGCATAGCCTTCTGCCTGCAGAACCACCATGAAACCAGGATTTAAAAATGCAGATTTGTTTAAAAATATAGTGGTCTCTTCATTTGTTCTGCAGCGCTATTTACACACACACACACACACTAATTTTTCTTAATTCAGTCTGGAGTTCCTATTTCTCTAATGTCACATTATGAGTACTGCATGTTTTTATACTGAATGGGCCTTCTAATAGCCTATTGCTCCTTACCTCACCAGTACTATAGGGCCAGGTCAGGTGATTGAGGATAAAGGAATGTGGGTACATGTCTCGGAGACATTGGGTGATATAAGTGCCCATGCCAGAGCCAGTGCCTCCAGCTACGCTCATCATGGTCAGAATGCCTGCCAACCTGTCACAGCGCTCCACCTCTCTCCGGACCAGCTCAACCACAGCCTCCTCATGCTGGGGCCCATGAACACAGAACCTGTAAGAAACAGTGCCAATGCGCAATATAAAAATACAATGCCAATGTTTACTGCTCTTTTATGGAGGAAATGTATACACTTCAAAGTTCTTAAGACTGGCTATAGAAGAAAATATTTAACTGGCCAACAGTAGTAGGATGAAGTATACTATGACCACAGCAGGTCAGTAGATTACAGAACACCATCAGAAACAGTACATGTGATACTCTCCTATGTAACTGAAATACCTGTTGATTTAGAATATAAATAACGAAGCCAAGGTGTCATGATATAGCTCACTGGTTTGACTATGGCCTCATACCTTAAAGGCTGTGGCAATTATGCCCATTACCAGCTGTGTGTGCTCTGAATTTGCATTTTCTTACCATGTTTATGTAGATTTCTGGGAACTCGGGGTTCTTCCCGCAGTCTAAAAACATGCCTTTAGGTGAAATGGTGTCTCTAAATTGCCCTTACTATGTAATTTTGTGAGTTTGGCATCCAGTCTTGAGTGCCCCATCTAAGATCCTGTGCTTCCTGAGATTGACTCCAGGCTCAGCACAATCCTTTCCTTGATAACAGGTATGGATGATCAATGGATGAATAACTACCTGATGACATCCTTACCCTTTGGCCCAGTTGTTTCCCGAGCCTTGTTTTTCACAGAAGTAAGACCCATCACCATACTTCCACATGTCAGATTTTGCTGCTGTTGCAATGGCATGATTAATAACTTTGGGTTCCATGTCAATAAGGACTGCCCGTGCAGCAAGTTCTGTGTCAAAAAATAAAACACACATTAATTGTGTTACTGAGTATGAACCAGCAGAATGAAAGAATCAGTTTATACACACTCATTGACATATATCACCTAGATCACCAGTCTGAGCTGTGTTGTCCATGTGGCTTTGGTTCATCCAAGTCCTTTTTGCTCATATGGCACTGCACCTGAACTCTACCTTTCATTTTGGTAGTAGTGAGCCCACATACTAGCTCTACGTTGCCATTTCGGATTTACTCCAGCCAGGTTACATGGATGGCCCTCCAAGTGTTCACCAGGAAACACTACACTCAGACTTAGTTGGAGGGGTGAATCAAGGTAATTCTCTTCTGGGCAGGGCACACAAAGTCATTTAGGGTGAGTGCTGACCTCCAGTTATGGTGTGTCTTGTCCCCAAACCTGTTAGTGACTTGCATGGACAGGGAATTACATGGATGGAAGAGCATCTCCTATGGAAGGCTAGAGGTAACACCACTGTTAAACTAAGCCTTGAGAGACTAAGACCAACAAATGGATCAGATTGGGGTCTACAGTCTTGAAGACAATTAACAACTCTATGACGATGAGGCTTAAGCTACACTGGATGAAACTCACAGTTCACAGGTCAATCTGTTCTAGGGCTGCACGATATCACATCATAATTACATGGTGCACACAGTCATCACCAGGGCATTAGGTGAAGGGCATAAACATTTATCTGGGTGCCAGCTTTTCAGTACAATACAGGCTTTTACTAATGCTCACAATTTGGTAAGCAGATTAATAACATGCCTACAATATTAATGACAGGCGTATTGTGATGCCAAAAGTAAGTAATCTGTACATAAATTTGGCATATCATTATGTTTAATAAATGTGTTGGACTCTAAACTGCAAAAAGTACCACCATATCACCAACATCTTTCTACCTTGCTTATCCACAATATCTCCTCTTTTAAAAGATGTTGTGGCTGTTAAGCTGAGCCCAGTTTCCCAAAACCTTCTTAACGCTACGTCATTCATAAGTTCTACCTTAAGTTGTCTCTTAATGCTCCAATTTGTTTCCCCGAAAAATTCATAGTTAAGTATATCTTCCGTAAGATTTTCTTTCTTAAGGTTGGTCTAAGCGTCTCTTAGCTGTCTCTTATTGTTGTTGTTGGCTCATACTGCTCATTTAAAATAAGTAACATTGTTAAGGGGTACAGTTTCATAACCAAACATCAATTAACTATAAATAACTGAGCCATATGATAAAATGATTTTGTCTGATACACGACTACAATCATCATTAGGTTTCAGCCTTGCACTCTGAATGCGCTATTGTCCTCTGTAATGCACACATTCATAATGAAAGATAAGGAATATGCTGTTGATTATGTATTTATTTATTAATTTGGAAGAGGGGGGGTTCTGTCAATATTGGGGTTGACGTGTTCCCCGTATTTCCGATGCCCCTTTAATGTACACACCTTTCTAAATGTCCCAAAGTCACAGCATATCAAAACTTTCATTCATGCGGTTGATAAGAGTCAACACTGCAGGTTCATTTACATATTTATCTAATACATTTTCCCAAAAAAAGCACCCTAGAATAGTCTTTAGTATCAGTACTGAAGCATACAGAACATTCTCTTAAGTTAAGACAGTAAAGCATATTCATTCAGCTGTTGTGCCACTGCTTGTCCCACTTTGAATGACATACACACATATTGGTGCACGCATGTGTTTTACAAAATAAATACAAATAAACTGGTGATACTACAATCTGGGGAGGCAGGTTTGTGCACCCAATCTGCAAAAATCACATTTATGGTTAGATGATTCAATTTGTTAATTCTGTATTTTAATTTTAGTTTCTCCCCAGTTCTGATTAATGAGATTATTTTGAAGAATTCCTGCAGTGTTATACTTATAAAGAACACCACTTTCACTCATACGGCAGTCAAGCATGCTGCATGGAAAGAATAATCAATTCTTAAGCCATCGATGTCAACCAATCAGGTGTTCTGGCGCCTATTAAGGTCGCAGTTAAGAAGCTCTCCTTTAAGCAATCTCTTAAGAGATTGTTCGGGAAACACACGTAGGAAAGTAAATACAGTACAGTAGTATGCAAAAGTTTGGGCATATAACATATTTTGGTCATTTTTTAATGGAAAAGATGTAAACACAGTCTCTGTAGGAAATGGAAAAAATGCACAATATTTACACCAAACATTGATGCATAGTTACTTTTTATGTCATAAATTGAACAAAGATAAAAAATAAAAACATTATTGTGGCACTCTGCAAAAGTTTGGGCACCCTACATAATCAGTACTTAGTAACACCTCCTCTGGCAGATATAACAGCTCGCAAATGCTTTTTATAGCCAGCTAAAAGTCTTTCAATTCTTGTACTTGGGATTTTCTCCCATTCTTCCTTGCAAAAGGCTTCTAGTTCTGTAATATTCTTTGGTCTTCTTGCATGCACAGCTCTAAGGTATACCCACAAATTTTCAATGATGTTTAAATCAGGGGACTGTGATGGCCATTCCAAAACCTTCAGCTTGTGTCTCTTGAGGTAGTCCATGGTGGATTTCGAGGTATGTTTAGGGTCGTTGTCCTGTTGTAGAAGCCATCCTCTTTTCAGCTTCAGCTTTTTTACAGATGGTGTGATGTTTACTTCCAGAATTTGCTGGTATTTAGTGGAATCCATTCTTCCCTCCACCCGTGCAATGTTTCCTGTGCCACTGGCTGCAACACAACCCCAAAGCATGATAGATCCACCCCCATATGCTTAATAGTTGGCAAGGTGTTCTTTTCATGAAATGCTGCTCCTTTTTTTCTCCAAACATGCCGTTGCTGATTATGGCCAACGAGTTCTATTTTAACTTAATCAGTCCACAGCACTTGTTTCCAAAACGCATCAGGCTTCTGTAGATGTTCTGTTGCATACTTCTGACGTTGGATTTTATGATAGGGACGCAGGTAAGGTTTTCTTCTGCTGACTCTTTCATGAAGGTCTTGTGGAACGGTGCACCACCACTCCTGAGTCTGATAAATGTTCCTGCAGTTTTTTTGCAGTCAAATGGGGGTTTTGATTTGTCTTTCTGACCAGCATATAAACAGTTCTCTCCAAGAGTTGTCTTGCTCTTCCAGATCTCATCTTGACCTCCACAGTTCCCCTGAACTGCCATCTCTTAATTACACTTCTCACTGTGGAAACTGCAAGCTGACAACACTTTGCTATCTTCTTGTAGCCTTCTCCTCCATTGTGGGCATCAATAACTTTCATTTTCAGAGTCTTACACAGCTGCTTAGAGGAACCCATGGTTGTTGAATGTCCACAAGTGTGTGCACAAGGTTTGAAGAGTCAGTGTAAAAGCTTTGAAATTGGCACGAGCTGACATTTACTAATGACAGCTGTTGCCATGCATCAGATCTAATGAGCTGATTAAGGTCTGAAACCTTGTAAAAAGAATCTGAGACTTTGGAACTCTTAGGGTGCCCAAACTTTTGCAGAGTGCCATAATAATGTTTTTATGTTTTATCTTTGTTCAATTTATGACATATGCATCATATAACTATGCATCAATGTTTGGTGAAAATATTGTGCATTTTTCCCATTTCCTAGAGAGACTGTGTTTACATCTTTTCCATTAAAAAATGACCAAAATATGTTATTTATTGAGGGGTGCCCAAACTTTTGCATACTACTGTACCTTTCGAAAAATATATCTTTAGAGTCTTGGTAAGACGGTATGAGTCACCATTATCGAGAAACGGGGCCCTGTTCATTTCTTCATTGCTACTTCAGTTTCTGATGATGCCACCTACTCAGCTGCCAAGGAAGCCATTCTGGGCATGTCCCACTTACAGACACAGGATATGCTAGAGAGACTACACCTTAGAAATGTGTCGGGTTTCATCAGAATGAGCTAGTTTATGGCCTCTGTAAGGGAGATGGGGTCAGATGTGTTTCGCATGCTGCCACTATATAACCCTTCTCGGGTAAAAATGTATTAAAAAGATTAAAACATTTGGCTTCGATTGATTGGATAGTTGTTCATAATTTTATTATTAATTAATTTTCTTTTTAACAAATCTGTGCCTGCTAAAAAAAATACCTCCGGTCTGTTCCTCCCGGAAGAATCGGTCCAGGGCGCAAGCATAATAGGTCTTCCCCTGTACTCCCGGGCAGTTTTTCTGAGCATTAAAGGCATCGTTGCTTACGACGTTCAGCAGCTCCTGGCCAACCTGGTTTCCACACTGCCCGAGATTTAATGTCACAACAGACATCTCCACAGCTGAATTCTATGAATATAAGAGAGAGGTTCCTTTTTCATTAGGTAAGGTACAACAGTTACAAACCTGTCCCGATTATAATTCCTCCAGATTTTCGAAACCAATAATTAACAAAAACCTTCTGACGTTTAAATTAGTATGTTATTTAAATAAAAAAAATGTATGGCGTCATGAAGCATTATTATCCAACAAGTTTAATTCAAGAAAGCAGTGTTTAGCTACTAGCTGATGTTCCGTAATACAACAGAATTCTAAAATGAAGTTTATGAGGATGAATATCAACTTTACAGCTGAAAATAGAAACTTAATTGGACTGGCCTGTTTTCATGTATTCGATGTGTTTTCATACGGTCACGACACTTGCTGTAATACACTAAGGATGAATAATAGCCACCAGCACGTAACTGCTTTTAAAATGTCTAAAACAAAACGCGCTTCAAGGATACCCTTACTGCGCATGCTCGTGTGTAAAGGTGCGCAGGCGCATATGAAGATCGCCAGACCCGCATGCGCATATATACTATATATGAACCGGAACCAGAAGACGGACAGGTGGCACATAATCATGCGGCGTGTTTCCGCACTCGAAAACACAACAACGTATTCATTGTTTTGTACTTCTTTATTGCAATGTAAAAAATAGTATGACGAAAACACCATTGACAAATGACAACAAATAAACAAAAAAGAAAAGAGAACAGCTACAACAGGGAAAGAGGCACTGTTGCAAATTTTATAGTTTATCGATCGTCACAATTTTAACTTTTACTTTAGCTTTAGAGTTTGATGACAGTTTAATAGTTACAGTCCATGTTCATTTAAAAAAAAAAACTGAACTGCAAAAAAGCTTTTCTGTTGCGACGTTAAAATGAAATTTGGCAAGTAAATGATAAAAATAACAGCATATTCCTGCTGGATTTTCGGTGTGGAGGGTATGCACATGACACCACCGTAGGCGGAAGTCACTGCGGTAATACCTGCTGGGTGGCAGAAAGACTGAGTGGCAGCATTGGTGTTCAACTTGAATGCTACGAAAACGCGCTTGAAATGGTGAAGAGCTGCTGTGCGACTGATTGTACAAATCGATATAGCAAGAAATCGGAGCTATCTTTTTACAGACTGCCGAAAAATAAAGAAAGGAGAATCAAATGGATCACTGCGATGCGCAGAAACAACTGGAATCCAGGCTCGGAAACGTGGATTTGCGGTTTTCATTTCGTGTCAGGTATGCTGAATTTTTGGGTAAAATCATACCTTAGGTTATATTCTGTATTGACTACTCATCAATGAAATGTTTATCATCATTCATTTCTATTCTGTGTAACTGTAAAGATTTTATGAGCATTTATTAAAAAACATCCACGATGATTTGCCGCGTGTTATGCAAACAAAGTGGGGGGTGGTTAGTGTTAGCTTCGTCCTTTGTAATCCTACTTCGTGGAATACGCAAGTCAAATATTGTAAGTAATGAAACCATGTAAATAAATTCATATTATATGACTAGTAAAACTTTTTGTTTCAGGAAAAAAGAGTGATGATCCTCTACACCCTGACTATGTGCCAAGTATATTTAGTTTCACCTCCACCGCTGATCAAAACCTGGCTGTCAACAACCTGGAAAAATATCTACGATCTCAAGAAGTTTGTAAGAAAAGACATGTCAGCAGAAGTAGAGAACTAGCTGCCACAGCTCTTCTGAACCTGCATCAAAGTCCTGCATCACAAGCAGGGGCACGGGCTGTAGAAGTCCAAGACACTGAAGTCCAGACAGAGGAGACGCACAATGACATCAGCTCCTTACATGAACAGATTAAATCTTTAAATACTGAATGCCAATCACTGAGGGAGAAGGTTCACAAATTAGAAAGTGAGTTGAAGCGTCATACTCTTGACCCTTCACAATTTGATGACAGAAAGATGAAATTGTTCACAGGATTACCCAATTTACAGGCTTTCATGTTATTGTTCAGCAATGTGTCATCAGTTCTTTCTGCTAGTGCAGAACAGTCCCTCAAGCCTACTCAGGAACTTCTCCTTACACTGATGAAACTGCGCCTCAATCTGTCTGAGGAATTTTTAGGCCACCTCTTTGGGATTAATCAGTCAACAGTTTCAAGAATCTTTTGCCATTGGATACATGTCACAGTTGACAAACTTCAATTGACAACCGCCACCGAGTTTACCTAAACAAAAAGAACAAGCAGTTCACTGCAAGAATGGCTTTTTTTAATTATTTTTTTTTTTCTTAAATGGCAAAATGTACGTGATTTTACCTCTATGAATATTGTGGATGATTTAATTTTCTTGTGGAGACACATTATTTGTGCTTATTGAAAATCAAATGTTTTGATGTCATATATATATATCTGATAAATCTCGTCATTTTCATTGTTTCATATGCTCATGTGTAAATTTCTCCATAGGACATCTTGTTTTCATTCTAGAAAGAAATGGAACATTTATATATTTCACTTAGGCGCTCTGTGAATAAAAAAGCAATTACAACTTTAAAAACATATATTTTCTTCAAAATATTTCTTTACAACTGTATTTTGTACCCCCTAACATGTGTGTTGGTTTGTTATAAATATGTTGTTGTTTAATAATAAAAAAAGCGAGAGTCTGTTTAAAGACTTATTAATGCTTGTTATTGACGATTTGAAACCACTTGGATAATGTCTACACATTACCCCTTGCTTTTTGTGACGTGGCTGATAGCCAACATAAAACGCACAGATAAGGTAGCACAACTGCTCTTGTTTTAATTACAATGATTGTGAAAAGATGTTTTACTAAAACTGATGCAGTGATCAATACATAAAGGAATGTGATGTCAAGGCCACTGAAAACTTTTTTTTTTTTTTGTCCATGTCATATCACACACTGCCTTTCAGGCTACCTGCCTTTACCTGTGGTGAATGTACCATGGTGGCTGTAGTCTGAGTCTCTCCACAGCACAAACCTTCTGGTATCACAGTCTCCAAAGGCCTTCCGCCTGGCACACCCGACTTCCTTCGGGCCGGACTTTACTGTTGTGGGGTCCACTATTCACTCCAACACTACTGTTAACACACTCAAATTTAAGATAGTTACTCTTGAATGCTGATAATTGTGTCACCCTTATCAGAACACTGAAATAATATGGTCATTTTTTTCTGACATAGCTCAGTGTTTTTGCGCATGTGTAGAACGGATCGTGCTTCCGGGTATGGATCGGGCACCGACCCGCGAATCTCCAAAGGAGGAAACAGGAAGTAAATGAAAATGACGGGAAAGTCGTCTTCGAAATGTTTACACCGTACGTATATCAAGCGAAGAGCCCTCACCATGCGAAGTATACTCTATAAAAACCCGTTCGCCAATGAAGAAAATGGTTAAATATTTAAGTATACGTTACATTACAATTGGACGTCATTAAACGGCGTTTTACCTGAATCGTCAGTTTGTTGCTTAGTTAAATGAACACGCTGTGTCGTACGATTAAACGATCATGAGTGCATGATAGGTACTCCGTTGTATTCCTCTAGATTGCTTAAGCCGCGTAAATTTCTGGTTTTAGTTTGTAAATTGCTCATTCTAAGCGATGGAACCATATATTTTAATAATATGTTTAAAATGCTTATGCCTTTGAAGTCTTGGATGCATTCGTGTTTAAGTTTTATTGTATGTTTCTTGTGTTTCATAGTCGAAAAACTAAACATGCCGAAAGCAGTCTAATATGACTCTATGGCCCTTGTGGTTTGAATCACCATGGCAAAGAAAAGAAACCTATCCGATCTGGTGGTGGCGTGTGAATGGGCCGCTTGCACCTTCAAAGGTCGAACCATGGAGGAGCTCTGTGACCACATGTCACTTCATTTAAAGGAGCACCTGGGAGATGGGGATGCCATGGAAGAGCTAGGTGGGTGGAAAAAAAACTGCAAAATGTGTGAGTGCATGTCTGTATGTGTATGTGTGTTCTTAGCGTTTCGGTCTTGACCATAAGGCTCTGGAGGTGTTTCCCTGAGCGCAGCCATTGGAACAGTTTACAGCAGGGGTAGTGAGTGTCTCCGATTATATTTAATGCCCTGGACCTACATCACTGAATGTAGATGTCCTGCAGGGCAGGCAATTTTGTCCTGGTGATTCACTTTGTGCACAGTGTCAGCCTCTGTAGGGCCCTGTGGTCCTCAGAGCTCCAGCTGCCATAGCAGGCAGAGATTCTCCCACAAAGCACAGATCCAACAGTAACACTGTACAAGGTTTTTTGCAGTGCAGAGATGTTGAATTTCCTCAGCTGCCTCAGGTGATAGTAACTCCTTAGTTTGCTGCACCAGGGTGCATATGTGGGTTGTCCATGTCAGGTCCTCAGAGAAGTTTACTATGAAGTACCTATAGCTGCTAACTCTCTCCACTGAGTCCCAAAAATCTTGAGTTGTACTTCCTCCGCTGCTCCCTCCTGAAGTCCATGGCCAACTCCTTGGTAGAGATGTTCAGGTTCAAATTGTTAGCCACCAGAGAGACAGCTCTTCTGCCTCATCCAGATATGCCATCTCATCCTGGCTGGAGATCAGATATACCATTTCATGATGGTGTTGGAGCTGTGTGGCTATACGGTCATATGTATTACGGGTAGGCGATATGACAAAAATCAGTCACGGATGATTTTTTTTCAGGCAGGACCCTGATCCACAATCTTACCACGATTCTTTCTCATGTTCATTTTTAAGACTATTTTCAAATTACTGCATGGTTTAGCAGCTGATGCACTCACGTGCCTTCCCCTCGCTGTTTGACTGGCAGAGTACTCTTTTGGGCATTTTCTTTTATGGTAGTGAAAATGGTTTGTCATGTTGTCATCCAATGTGCATATTTTTCAAATAACTCTTGTTTGCTCCGTGCTGGTTCTGGAATATCCAAATAAGTTCCAAAATACCAACGTTAAACTCTTTTTAGGGAGCAGTTCCTCCATGACATCCATACTGCTACATTGCCAAATATTAAATGTGCTGCATGTTGGGACAAGTGAGCAAAAAGGAGAGGAGAAGAAATCCAAGACACTACCTACTGTTTGCTGTTACTGGTTTATTGGTTTGTCAAAATGGATATGGCTGACAAAACAACATATGATGGGTGTATGAGCCAAAGAACTGCAACTGCTAGAATGTGCACTGTAGAATGATATTAACGATCTCTCTGTAAATGCAGATCGTGGAGGCATTTTAATCGCTCATGATCCAATATTGTCAAATCGCATACCTGTGTGTGTGTGTGAGAGAGAGAGAGTATATTTAAAACTTGCTTCACGTGTAAAACAGATTTGTAAGAATCTGGTTTTTTTTTTGTAAACATTGAATAAATATATTGTTATCCAAACAGAAGTTGCTTCAGAGTTGTTTTATAAAAGTGTCTTTAAATAAATACAGTGATAGCCTTCAGTTCTCTGAGTGTTATGGTTTATATGCTAACTTGTGTGTCCCCATTTTAATAATCACAGTATTTCACTGCTGTTTTCTAATGCTTCCTTTAGATGACTTTGCATGTCTGTGGGATGGCTGTCAGTTTCTAGCCATGGGGAGTCCTAGTGAACTGGTTGTGCACGCACACTTCCATATCTTCCATGCAAAGCTCAAGTTTATTGGAGCTCAGCTGCTACAGTCCCACCCAGAGTTACCTAGCTGCAGCCAGGATCTGCACAACAACAACCTGATCCCAGAACTGTCAGAAAGATTTCTGTGCCAGTGGGAACACTGTGATGTGAGTATGTTGGCTTCATTTAATATTGCGGCCTGTATTCTAAGTGCACAAATGATATGGGGTCTTCCACATATGGAATACAATGAATATGATAATTCCAGCCGGTTTTCAGCCTAAAACAGAGATATTGTCTTTCACAGAGCAATTTTAACAATCCTGAGTGGTTCTACCGTCATGTGGACATGCATGCACACTGCACTGAGATGCAGCCTCTTGCTGACCAGCAACAGGCACTGTTCTGCAGTTGGAAAGGTAAATGATCAGTAGCAGCAGAACAAATAGTGCTGTTTGTTTTAAAAACATACTTTCTTTTTCCTCAGGATGCTCAGGATATTTGAATACCTTACTTCATTGGTGCTTTGAAAAAGTATTGAGATCCATTGATAATTTTATATTCCATAAGGAATGTTAAGGGTCATGACCAGGGGCGGATTAAGGTGTACAGAGGCCCCTAGGCTACAGTAGTCTGTGGGCCCCCCAAACCCACCCCCCTCCGCGCCAATGGGGGCCCCCTTGCAGGCTGGCACACGTGGGGCCCCTAGGCTTAAGCCATATCTAGCCTGTGCGTTAATCCGCCCCTGGTCATGACACTTAAAATCAAGAACACAGAATTAAATAATGCAGAAGGATTGTATGACTAAGCTTTTCTAAAGTGAATAAGCACAAAATAGTTAGTGGCCTTAAATCGTTTTGATAATCACACTTTTTAAATATATTACATTTATTTGTTTAACTGCATTATTTTTTGGTTTCACAAAACGGGTAATGAAAAAAAGGATTTGATACTTTTTCAAGGCACAAATGGTTTTTTTTGTTATTGGTTTTTAGTTATTGGTGAAGCCAGTGGGTTTTATGCTGCCGTGGCTTGATTTGAATTTTGAAAACTGAAAAAGAAAACGTGGAGTAGAGGTGGCCTTTTCTGTTTTTCCATATCCTGCAATGCAAGGACTCCATGCGGTAGCACCTGCGCAGCCACGTGCAGGGCACAGTTAGGGTAACCCTAACACCTTTCTCATTTTCCATAGGTTGTGATGCCTTCTTCAAGATTAAGTACCGTCTGCGGGAGCACCTGCGCAGTCACACGCAGGAGAGGCTGGTTGCGTGCCCCACGTGTGGCTGCATGTTTTCCAGTAACACCAAGTTTTTTGACCACATCCACCGGCAAGCAGAACCAGAAGGTAATGGGCCCTCTGTTCCACTAGTTCAGCTTTGCCTGTGTTTAAAGCTGGGACTGGGGGTGAAGATATTACACTAGCAGCAAAGGAAGAAATGCCACGGACCTTGACACAGAGACCCATTTCCCTTTACTCAGTCTTCAAAATTGGAAAGACCGGAGAACATGCCATTTAATATATCGATTAAAGTATCAATTATTATTATTATTATTATTATTATTATTATTAAGGCAGATGTGTGCTGATCTTCGTAAGTCAGGAAATGGGTACAAGAAAATAGCTACTTGCCTAAACTTGCCCATATCTACAGTTAGAGCAATAATTAAAAAGTTTAAAACAGATGGAACTCTGACAAAGGCTGGACGAGGACTAAAGTTTATCTTGTCACCACACACAGTGAGGAGGATGGTAAGGGAGATAAAACGGTACTGGGACTTAAACTGGAACCGTGTGCTTTGGTCAGATGAGACTAAGAGTGAGTTTTTTTAGTAATTGTGGCACCGGTGATTTTGTTAAAAATAATAATTCCTTAATGATGGATTTTTGGAAAAAAAAATTACTTAAGTTAAAGGTTAGATTTTTCTAATTCTTTTAGTGTGAGATTATGCTACTGCAATAAAAAATAATTTATTATACTTGCTATTATACATGTATTTTTAAGTATCCTTGATTGTGAGAAAGGTGTTCTATAAATAAAACTTATTATTATTATGTTATTATTATTGT